TCATAATTTCATATGAATACGAAAGCAATACTTTTGGATCATAGATTTGTATCTACAAAAAAGTATGATGCCAATTCTTTCCTTCGCCATTTCAACAATCTTTGAATATTTTGTCAACATCACCCATCCAAATACACCTTACATTTGAACATATAGAGAATGCAAGAGCTGGACTTCATTTTATTAGGTTGTTTTTAGCAGTAATAATCTGATTTTTCCTGTATCTCTTATTTGTCTAACTACACTTAGGCATACATATTTGGAAAATTCATCTTGAAAGTCACTCAACCACACTGTTGCACTAATTTTTTTTTTTTGAAAAGTAGAATTTTATTGATGTCGGGAGTAATTCTCCTTACAGATAATAAAGGGAGGATTTCAAACCTTTATAGTCATACATGTAAGGCATATAGACTTAAAAACCTCAACTTTGCTATACAAAAATCTAACATAGCACTGCCACCTGGCACAATCAGTAAAACCCTTGGCGCACATATATTTACATTTTAATCAAACAACACACCGAGGCACACAATACAATCTCAATTAAGAGGTAAATCATACAAAGCATGCCATATATAATTCTCTTATTGAGCATGCTGTTCTGTAAAATGAAATATATATATATATTAGTTGCTATATTTATTGTTTCTTAAGGTGCATTAACTCAAAGGAATCCTGCATTTACTCGATACTGATATGGAGATGCAAACCATAATCTGCTTTCCATAAATTTTAGTTGTTGAGACTGAGCATGCAAGCACGCATGCCTTATCTCTAGTCCTCTATTACCATTTTTACACCTAGTTTAGGCCTATATAAAGCAACGCTTGCTTCACTGGAATCATCAGAGAAGAAATTAAAAGAAAAAAGATTTAGTTATGGAGGTTCGAGTTATCTTTGCCTTTTCCTTGGCCATTTTCTTCTTCTATGGTAAATAATTTCCCTGGTTTTTCCATATGTTTTTGTTGCATTGAGTCGTCACATTCTCAAGCAATATCAGCATATTAATACAAATCTGATATTTATAATTGCAAAGATTTCTTGTCATTGATTAGAAGGAAAAAAGTTGTCAAAAATTCATGCCTGATGAAGCTATTTTTGTTGCAGGGGCTCAATCGGCTACGTTCACATTTACAAACAACTGTCCTTACACTGTTTGGCCAGCAACTCTAACAGGTGCAGGTCCTCAACTATCCTCGACCGGTTTTGAGTTAGCCTCAAAAGCCTCATCAACCCTTAATGTTCCAGCTCCATGGTCTGGCCGTTTGTGGGCTCGAACCCAATGCGCAAACACCAACGGTAAGTTCGAATGCGCCACCGCGGACTGTGGCTCTGGTCAGGTTACGTGCAATGGCGCTGGTGCAATCCCACCTGCGTCCCTGATAGAATTCACCCTGGCAGCAAACAGTGGACAAGACTTTTACGATGTCAGCCTCGTCGATGGCTTTAACTTGCCTCTTTCCGCTACCCCGCAAGGTGGATCAGATGGTTGCGGTGCCACGAGCTGCCCTGCCAATGTCAATGCAGCTTGCCCACCGGAATTGCAGGTTAAGGGATCGGATGGAGCTGTTATCGCCTGCAAGAGCGCGTGTTTGGGCTTTAATCAACCCCAATATTGCTGCACTGGCGCTTATAATTCACCGAATACATGTCAGCCAACAACATATTCTAAGATTTTTAAGAGCCAATGTCCTCAGGCTTATAGTTATGCTTTTGATGATAAGAGTAGTACATTTACATGTACCGGTGGAGCTAATTATCTTATAACTTTCTGTCCTTGAAGATTTGGACTACACTAATTGTCATGACTCATGATCATAATAAAATCTTTAATTAGGTTGATTTTTCTTTGTCTTATACCTTTCGGGTTAATTATATTGCATTTGATGGTATTTTTTATTTTATTTTTTAATCAAAGTATATATAATATTGGAAGAAGGGGTATTCAAGTAGGAGGAACATCTACTTAAAAGAGTTGTTTAAGGGGTTATTAAGTGTGTTACTTTACTTTTCACTCCTAAAATTAAGCAGAAAAAGGAAAAATAATGGCAAGCTCAATCTTAAATTAATGGACTTTCCATTTATTTTTTGGTGATGGCCTTCCATATAAGTACTAACAAAACCTAGTAATTACGTGCTTCTAAACGTACATGATTGATCCTTATCTTCTAATTAGTAATTGAGCACAATAATTATTAGGAAATTCCAGTTAGAGACTTGGATCATTCCCATGTTTTTATGAATCTAACAACTATGCTGCAACAGATTTCCCTGAAGAAAAGTTATAAACAGCTAACTCATCACATTATATGCCATGCCTAATACATAGGGATGGTAATGGGTATCCTATTATTATAAGGTACCAATGGGTACCTGACCTAGTTATATCATATTAAGATACTTTACAATTAGGTTTGAGACGGATTCAAATGGTGATTTCACTATCTGTATCGGGTTTGAGTATTATTTCTTGGATACTTACTACCCAAACCCGATAATGTTACCCCGAACTCGATCTCAATATCCGTTTAT